TATCCCCTTAGGTAAGTCGGGTTTTTCCTCTTATCTAACCCGGGCTTTATTACCGCTATTACGTTATACCCGCTATGGTTATAGAGCGCCTACTATATTCTATCCCGCTATCCCCCTATATTCTACTAAGCGATTCTAATTATTTATCTTAGGCGGCTACACCGCGCTCACTTCGCTTTATAGTTACGCCTTAGGTATAGCCCGGGGGTAAGGGGTATGGTGTTACGGCCAACAGGCCTAATATACACTAACATGAAGGATACACTGGTATATAATGTACTAGGACGGTTAGCGTACTAGGACGTAACTAGAAGATAACTCAGGAAGAGGGATCACGTGCTCCAGCACGTGACCCTGTTAGGAAGGATGCATTAGCACTACTGATAGGTATAGGCCAGGGCGCTATAGGGGCCACCTGGGTGGGTAACCTATTTCACGAATATTCACTAACGGAGAAGTGAATAATAAGTGAACACCTAGTGAACGTTATAGGGTTATTCACTAGGGACCTAGTGAATAATAAGCTATATATACCAGAGTATTCTAGGCCTTGCTTCTACTAGAGAATAAGACATCGATTAATCTAAGTCTTTACCTGGACTACTATTCTACGCTTAAACCTACCTTATGAAGAAGACGCCTAGTCTTTACGACGTAACTACGACTAGACCACTACGAACGATAGTTACTGCTCTTTAGTTAATATCCTCTTCTTATTTTAAACTAAAACCTCGACGCCAGTCCCCTATCGTCCGCTATACTATAGAGGACTGGAAGCCGTCGTAATATAAGGCTTTATAGGGGTTAGAAGGTAGTATTAGAGGCGAGAAACCTTATAATATTATTATCCTACGTAGGCGTAAATAGGGTGGTACGCGATCTAAGGAAGATATTCCGCGACTCTAAAAGGCGTCCTTTCTATTTTCTTTTTTTCTTAGGCGGTTTAGGGACTATTATCGTATTTAGTAACGCCGTAAAGACGCTATACTCCCTCTCCGCCCTATATTTCTTAAGTTAGCTAAGGTTAAATCCCCTTACCCTATTAGTATATACCTCCTTAGTCCGCGCCCTTTCCTTTACTTTATTTAGGTATTTATCGTTAAATACCGCGTACGGCCCCTTATAGGCGGCGTAGCGCCTTCTCTTCGGGTTTATCTTAGCCTTATACGCCGCGAAGCCCCCTTAGTATACTAACTCTACGTCGCCGTAATACCCGTATAGCGCTTCTATCGCCTAACACTAACCTGCTTTAGATCCGAAGTTAAGGTATTTAAAGCACTATTATAGAGAGATCTCGGGGTTATAGGGTTCGCTATTATAGTGTCCGTAATTAAAGAAGACTCCCTCCTTTATTAATCGCTCCGCGTCCTCAGGGCGGGCGACCTTAATAGTTAGTAACGCTATCCGCGCTACGTCGTTCCTAGGTTTCCTAGCCTTAATCCGGGTAATCGCCACGTTATTCTATAGCCGAAGTTCTTATAACACCGTGTCGGGGTTATAAGTTAGTAGCTACGCTATTAGTATTCCTTTTACTATAACTTAATACGTTTTCTTATATATCGTGGCTCCTATACCGAATACGCCTTTAACCTAATTATTCGCGTTCCCTATCTACTATTTATTCCTATACTTAAACGTAAGAATTATATTACCGTTTAGGAGTTATCGCGCGGCTATTATATTTACACGGCGGGTAACTTAATTAACCGCCTTAATAATCTCTTATAGGGTTCGGCTTTTAAGGTTAGTCTTAGTGTCTCCGTATCGGATTATTAGCTCTCGGGCGTATCGGGTAGGTATAATCTTTACTAGTGCTATCTCGATACGTTAGCGCTATGCGGGCGTGCTCCCTATTACCTAGGCGTAAGTCTTAGGTCCCGCTACTCCGAGTAATTCTATTAGTATACCCTTAATCGCTTATTAGATTATATCGGTAAGCCCTTTAGTTATAAGGGGGGGTATATTACTACCGGGTTATTAGCGTAGCGGCTTCCCTATAATAGTCTTATAGTGTTACGTTTAAAGGATCTTCTATACTAGCTTTAGCGCCTTATCGGTGCTTACCCCGTTAGCTAGTAGTCCGGAACATTAGGTACGTAGTTTATATAGTACGCCTTCGGTACGCCTGCTCGGTGCCGAGGATTTTTAGGGCTCTCCCGGGGCTACGCGCCCCGGGTTAGTTCTAGTCATCGTATTCTAGGCGCTTTATAGTGGTATACCGGTATCGCGTTCGGTTAGCCCTATAGGCCGCCCTATAGTATATAACTCACCGCGCCCTCTACAGTCTCGCTATAATATCGGTCTCCGGTGCTTTTAAGGGCGTAGAGTCCCAATCCAATATCAGAATTAATTTTATCGATAATACGACACCTTAGGGGCACTTTCGGCTTAACGATACTCGTTTTAAGTAATAAAGTAAATAACGGTAATAACGTTTATAACCGAAATAGAGCTACTCGCTTTAGAGTAAGTGGCGAAAGAAATAATAGGTTTAAAGCGTCTTTTTATCGAAATACGCTTTAATCTAGAATCTCCTTCGGATATCCACTATAATAACACGTAAACGATACGCCTAATAGTAGACGATAGCTTTAGAATTAAGACTAGGCTTTATTATATAGATATATAGCGTTTTTAGGTAAGGCAGGAGAACGTAAAGAGATTATTTAGAGTCGTATATCTTATTACGAATTTAATACTAGCGGACGGATTAATAAAAGCACTTCCACGATAAAAATTTAAGAACTTCCGAGTATATCTTAATATAATTAGTGTATAGAGGGGGTAGGAAGAAGTAGTTAAAGTCGAAATTCCCGTGCCTTAGGCGTACCACGCGCCGGTGGTTTAGTTAATTTAATAAAAAGAAGGGTATATTATTATCTTAATACTATAACACTATACTAAACCCTAAAAGTCAATCCGAAAATCCTAAAATATAAAAAGGAGTATACTAGCTAAATTACTAAGCTTTATTAATACTATCCTAAGTACTATCCTACGTAATATTTACGCTATTTCCTTTAACTGGAGGAGTAATAATAAAACTATTTTCCCGCAGAATATCTATTATAACCCCCGTAAGCTAAGAGGTAAAGGTAGTAGTCAGCGTACTAGGACCTTAGTTAGAAGCTCCCTTAAGCTCCTCCTCCTTAAAGAACTTCTTATTATCGTTATCCTCTATTAACTTAATTATAAACTTTACCGTCTACTTCAGTTTAGTAAAGAACTACGCTAATTAGTTAGTTAAAGTTTTTTTATTGAAATAAAGCGATAAACGCACCTTCTTATTATTATCCTCCGAGTCTTTATTATTTTTCGGACTATAATATAGTTAAATAGAATTTTAACCAGGGAAATAAGGCCAGAAAAACTATAAGTATAGGTTAGCGGTCGTAAAGCTTAATAGCGTATATATCTTCGAGCTACTACGAAATAAAGTACACAATTATCATCGTAAAGCGCCTTAGATAAAGGGTAAGAACTTATAGAGGGTGGTATATATAGTTTCTATTCTTATACTTTTAGCAGCGATAGGAGCGCCTAGAAACTAAAATATAATAGTTAAATAAGCGCTATTGACCAGAATAAATAACCTTTACGCACTTTAGGCAGGGAGGGTTAAACGGTACCAGTATAAAAGTATGAGCGGTATTCTTATTATTATTATTTCTACTACCCTTAGTAGTCTTTTAAGGAGTTAGCCTAGAATAGAATAGGGATATCGTAGACTAACGCGCCGGAATAACTTATAGAAGCACCCTTCTTAGTACTGGCCTTACCCTTATTCTTTTGTATACTATTAGCCGAAGCCTTTTTAGCGGCGGCGGCACGGGTAATAGCGGATAGAGTAGAAGGGGCCTAAACGACGCTACTAGTTAGCACACGCTACTAAAAATAAAGCTCTAATACTTACTATAGCATAGTTATTATTATTTTTATTACTATTAATAGGAAAATCGGAAAATATTAGTTTAAAAATCGTCAAGAATTCCTCGAAAAAACAACGGCATAAAATGTTATAAGAGAGAGGATCTAAAAGCTTTAAAACGCCGGTATAACGCCTTTAATTTATCTACGGAAAGCCCTACTATCACCTATTTACTACTACTATTAATGGCACTTTTCCTTTATTATTTACTACTATTATTATTATTCTTTACTATTTTATAGCTTTTATTCCTGCCTTTTAACTCGATATTAAGGGTATTACACGACCCTTTAAGGCTATTTTAAGGTTAAAAATACGGCTAGGTTGAGGTTAGGCTAAGTAATTGTTCCGCTAATCACGGCTTAATAATTAGGGGGTGTATTATATTCTATCACGTAAGCCACGGTATAATAACCTCCTATTAGTTAGAGGTACCCTACTATCCTCGCTTAGAAGGTGGCAGATATATTTAGGACACGTATACCCGCCCCCTTTTTCTTTCTCTTTTATACATAATACAATCATACATTTCCTGAATCAACGCTCCCTGCAAGCACGCTCCCGTCAATTCAACAATATGGAGTACCAGTACCTTACGCTGATGACGCAGCAGAGGGGAATATGAGTGGGGTACTGTTGTTAAGGATGGGTGATGGTCGCTAGGTACCTTCTACACAGCTAGAATGTCTGACTAATAGAGGCCTCACAATGGAGCTTCCCGCACACTCAACCTCCACTCCTCATCCACCCAGTCGTTCCAACTTGTCTCGTTCATCTTACTCTCATACAGTCACAACTCACAACTCAGAACAGATCTTGCTATACTATCATCCTCCACACTCTTTTGTTCCGTCAAGATTCTTTTAAAGTCCATCAAAGGAACAGCCCTGAGCTCTGTCGACCTACTCTCGAAATCTCTCTCTCACCCTCACCGGACAACTCGTGAAGAATCTACCGGCCGGATCTGGCCTCTGTGTTTTTCTTCTTCTGTTGTTGTTCGTATCTGCTGTCCCCTAGACGACAGTGTATATTTAAGTCGGCACGCCTCCTTCGATTTCTACCAGACGAGTTGTAAACAACATTGGAAGCACAAGCAGTTGAGTACCAATTGTCAAGGGGAAAACTCGACTTCCGAGCTGTCCTACCGCTCACTTCCACCTCCTATTTCCCCTATAACAATGATTGCGCTGTTCTCAAAACCGACACCTCCGCTACCTCCTCCCATTCGATCACGTACAGCACCTTGAAAGCTTCTCTAGCTCTCTAGACGCGCCCCAATGTCAGACCCCAAGGCCGATGCCCTCATTGTGAGTATTTCCCGCCCTACCGAAGACTCATTATATCCCTCAGAGCTGTACCATTGACCATTGACCATTGGCCACGAACCAGGCGGAGTTCGCCTCCCTACTCGACGAGGTGCTCATCATAGCCCTAGTAAGCGATTACGATCTGAATGATCCGTCTCAACTAGACGCCGCCCGTACCACGCTACAGTCTCTCGCCGAGAATGTCCTCGCCGAGGAGGCCACGGGGTTCAACCCCAGCGGCACCTCCGAAGCCTTCTCGCTCGACGGGTTCGTAGACGCAAAAGAGTCCTCGAGCATGTCGCATGATTATGATTCGACCTCGCACGCGAAGGATAGCGACTCCACCGCCACAACACTTACAACCCCGCCGTCCGACGGGTTTACCTCTGCGAACCCTGCGCCCCGCATTCGATCTTACGAGGGCAAGTCTGAGGAGACGCAGGTCGCACATCTTCACGACATGTTCGCCGATCTCAAGGTGCATGACGTGAAACTGGCCTTCAAGAAGGCCGATGGAGACTTTCAGACGACTCTGGAAACCTTGCTCAACCTTCAGTTCCTGGAGTCCGCAGGCGAGCGCCAGAAGGGAATCGACGGGTTCTTCCGCCCGGACGACGATAGGCCTGCCAAAAAGAAGAGGAAAGGGAAGCAGCGCCGAGCTGGATCATCCGCCATCACTTCCCCCACTTCAGCTCATGCGGCAGACTCTCTATCGCCCGCTGTGTCGGGAAGTGAGCTGAGGCGTAAGTTTCCTCCGTCTCTCGTTGGCCGTCCCTTCTCACATGCATTTGCTGACGGCAGACTGAAGGGCTGGAAGATATTCTCTTCGTGGCTGAGAAGCTCGACCTTCCCATCGAGGAGGTATCTAGCGTCTACAGTCGCAACGGCGGCTCCAGGGAGAGCACTATTCTCGAGTTCCTAGATCGCTACGCCCAGCGAGGTACCCATGCAAGTGATGCCGCGACGGAAGCTCGTATATCCGAACTATCCAAACGTTACCAGAAGCTCCCCAAGCACTACCTGTCGCCCCTGGTCGGCCTGGTAGGAGATATACCCGAAACCGTGGAAGAGCTCGCCGCCCTCCTCGACGCAAACTTCTCCGACCTCCCGCCGCAACGCCTCGCCATAAGCTACAACCTAAAACCGCTCACGGGAGAAGAACTCGAAGAACTACCCACCACGGCAGCAGGCCCCTCCTCCAAAGCCAACAAACAGCAGCAAACCGGCCTCCGCCAACCCGCCGCCGCCGCCGCCGCCGCCGCCACCAGCACGGCGACCATCCTCTCCCCCGCCCCCGCCCCCACGAGCCGCAAACCGCCAAGCTACGAAGCAGCCCTCGACTCCGCCGCAAGACTAGCCGCCTCGCGCCACCACTCCCAAGCCGCCGCGGCCCGCAACTTCCGCAAAGGCGCCTCGCACCCGCTCTACCGCGCCGCCGCCTCCGTCTACGCCGACCGCGCCCGCGAAGAGACTCGCGCCTACCTCCGCGCCCGCGGCGCCGTCGCCGACGCCCTCGTCGCCGACCGCTGCGCCGCCTCCCGCGACCCGGACACCGTCGACCTGCACGGCATCGAGGTCGCCGACGGCGTGCGCCTGGCCCTCGACCATGCTAGGGGCTGGTGGCGCCGCTTGCCCGGCGAGTACCGCGCGCGCGCCGCGCGGGAGAGCCGCGGGCTCGTTATTATTACAGGGATCGGGCGGCATTGCGTTGGTGGGGTGTCGAGGCTGAGGCAGAGCGTTGCGGCCGCGTTGGTGGAGGATGGGTGGAGGGTTGAGGTGGAGACGGGGCGCTTTCGGGTTATGGGGCGGAGGTGAGATTTTCCTCTACCCTTTGCCTTTTCTTCTTCTTTTTTTTTTTTGTTCATAATTTTTCGTCTTTTACATGCGTAGCATTTGTCGGAGGTGAAAGCGCTCAGGATATGAAGTGATGTATGGAATATGGGAGAGTCCATTATTTATGGACAAATGATGGCATGGCGGCCGAGTATCCCCAGCTGCGTAGACAGAGTAAATACACCACGCCTGAAAGATATGGGACTACGTTAGGTGTCATAGAATCAACAATTTAACACTGCACACCAGTGAAGGGTCCGTGAGAAGTAGAATGGCACAGTAATGGTAATGAAATGGATTATGCACCCCTTCGGGGATGGATGGGTAGAAGGACAGAAAGCAACGCTATCCACAACGCCAAACCGAGCTGGTATCATCGTCCCCCGTATCGGCCCCATCCTATGTTCCTTCATGCGACGACGACCCCCTCCGTACACGATATGCAACATGGCTGGTGACAAATTCAATGGCACCAAGATGCAGATGAAAAAAAAAAGGAAAGAAAAAGGGGTAACTAGGTACAGTGAAAGATAATCAGAACACAGTTATAATCAGCTGCCGGCTACTCTGGCCGCAATATGCTCACCGGCTCGTTTACCCGAGAATACACCATCAGCAAGCGACAAACCACTAATGTATCCATTGGAACACAAGCCCACGGCGTTACGTCCCGCGGCGTACAATCCGGTGATGGGCTTCTTCTGTTGATCGTCAAGCACCATGCCCGTGTCCTCGTCGACCGCCAGACCCCCGAGCGTGAGACCGGGAGTTAAGTGGACCCCATGAGGAGCAACGGAGATGTCGATGCCGTAAAAGGGGCCCCGGGAGATGGGGGAGCGGTAGTCATCCAGCTTGTGCAGCGGGTCGGGTCTCCCCTCCGCGATGGCGGAATTATAGGCGTCGACCGTGCCACGGAGGCCATGCGGGTCGACGCCCAACTTGGACGCCAATGCCTCTACCGAGTCGGCCTTCTTGTAGGCCCAGTAGAGCCACACAGCGCGCTGCACGCGAACGGGCATGGGGACCTGCGTCCACAGCTGCTGCTTCGCCTTGGACCAGGTAGAGGCGTCGAGGATGGCGTACCCCTTCCCGCCGTGCTGGAGGACCATGGCCTCGCTGAGTCTCGCGCCGTAGACGTCCTCGCTGGCTATGCGCGTGCCGTTCGGTCCGACGACGACGCCCTCGACGAGCGCCGTAGGCGGGTAGATGAAGCGCCAAGCCGACATTCGATCGAGGTGGGCGACGGCGCCGCCCGCTGCCTGGCCTAAGAGAATGCCGGAGCCGTCGTCGGCGGGTGTGCCGAGGCTGCCCACGCGGGACCATTCGGGGAGGTACTTCTCGCGCATCTCTGTGTTGAAGGCGAAACCGCCGGCGGCGAGGACGACGGCCCGGGCGCGAGTGACAGTAGCCGGTTGGGCACGCGTCTCCCATAGCGCGTCGGCGCGTCGCTGGGCTGGTTCGGCGATGAAGGGGAAGGTTAGTTGGTACTTGGTGACACGGCGGCAGAGGGCCTGGTGCTTGTTGAAGGCCGGGTGGTCTGCGGCCAGTGACCGGCACTCGAGGCCGACGACGGCGCCTGAGGTTGGATCGCGGACGACAGTGGCGGCTTTGGTGGCAGGGCGGAAGCGGACGCCGAGGCGCAAGGCGGCTTCGGTGAGACTGCGGACCAGGCCGATGCCGGAAAAGCCAGGGTGGTGGACGCGGTGACCACGCGGGGCTGGGCGGGCGGCTTCGCAGAAAGGATGGGCGGTTTCGTTGCCGGAGTAAAAAAGATAGTGCTCATCGGTGGTGAGGCTGGTCTTGTAAGGGCATAGAGCGGGGCTGAAGCGGACGCCGTGGGCTTCGAGCCAGTTCATGCGGGAGATGGATTCGTCGCAAAACCGGCGCAGGGTGGATTCCCGGACGGCGTTGCCGACCTCGAGGCGCAAGTAGGCCAGCATATTCTCTGGGGTGTCGTAGTCGATACCGGCTTGCTTCTGTTGCGTAGTGCCGCCACCGGCGTAGACGACACCTCCTGAAAGGGCCGTTGCACCGCCCCCGTGGGCGCGGTCGATGAGAAGAACGGAAGCACCATTTTCGGCGGCTGCAATGCTAGCGCAGAGGCCGGCCACACCGCTGCCTACTACGATGACGTCGTAAAATTCATCGGACGGGTGGGTTGAGAAGGCGCGACGTATCGAGCTTCGGAGACGGTGTGATTTGTTGGATGAGAGTACGGGTTGTGTTGTACGGCGTCTGTCTTGAGTCCTTGGGAGGGAGATGCTTGTGTAAGAGCAGGACAAGGGCAACATAGGAGAGGCTGTTTTTGAGGACGTGATGGTAGTCGCGCAAGTCAAAGGTGAATGTCGGAATTGCGAAGGCAGCGGAGATAACCGCGGTAGCCGGACAGCTCGCGATCCGAGAGCCAGACCTCTCGCCTTTTCTAGGGAGTGATGCATGGCGAAGAACCGGGGCGAGTTTTAAAAGAGATATCCCCTGGACCGTGGTGCAACCTGGTGAGTGGTTATATGAGTTGAAAGTGAGCTGTGGTGTTTGAATGAGAAAGACGGGGTGACCATAGTATCACGGCTGGCTGTATCCGAGTTGGTTCCCAGCTATGACGGGAGAGACGGAAGGATGTTGTCTGTTGGTGAGTCTGATATAGAGGAGACTGCTCGGAGGGGGGGGGAGAGAGAGAGAGAGAGAGAGAGAGAGAGAGAGAGAGGAAAAACGAAAGGCAAAAAAGAGAGGGAAGAGACAGAGAGATGGAGACAGAAAGAGCGAGATAGAAGGAAAGGAAAGAGCGACGGAGCCGGAGCGTAGTACGCAGGTGTATCATGTATACGTGTCGGTCAAGTTGGACAAGTCTTGGGCCATGGTCTGACCAAAATGGTGGTTGCGGCTTGCTTCATTTTTCCTTTCCCGTTCCCTCTTCGTCCTCCCTCAGCTGCCGGAGCGGTTGTTTGCGGCGGACGAGTGAGTTGTGTCGTATGTATGTGAGGGCGAGTACACGGTAAAATGGTGATGTAGTCGGAGGATATGGGAAAGATGGGGGAAGGTGACGATATAACGTGGGGGAGGATCGTGTTGATTTTTTTTTCCTTTTCCTTTTCTTATTTTCCCCCTTCTTTCCTTCTTTTGGCCTATTCTAGCGAGTCGTCAAGGATAAGGTACCAAGAGTCAAGGGGTGGAATGTTCCGAAGCCACATGGCGAGATTAGGTGAGACCCTGGGGAAGACATGGGAAAGTGCATGGATTATTAGGGAAAGAGGAACCGACCCTCAACGCTGAAAAAGAGATCGATAGGAAAGATGGACCACTCGCTCTTCTTGCTTTGATCTCCTGTCCTGACGTTTACCTTACGAATGCGGTTTCCACTGAGAACTATGTACTCAGTACTTTGTAATATGTGGAGAACATCGTACAGAGACCCGTACCTCTACTTTGTACTACCTAAGGTACCTACTTGTATGGGGGACAGACCTGCCTACCTACTACACGTGTACTAACGGCTCCGTTGAGTAGCGGTATCCCGCATGCCCCATTCTGGTCTTCCGCATAAGCGTATCCTATTTAGGATCCCCTGCTAAGTGTTTTCCTCGGCTAGGAAATTAGCGTCTATGCCTAAAGTTCCGGTACATCGTGTTGAAGCCCTTATGGGCGTAGGCGGCTTCGGACAAGAGAAGGACATAGTGAGATTTTAAGGCTCGAGATCAATAAAAATATCTTCAAAATAGCAGCGAATTCGTACGTTAAAACATCTAAGGCAAGTCGGGTAAAAACTCTTCGTCTTCGTGTCCACGATCTCACGATATACTCTCACGATATACCGGGACTTTAGGCATAGACGCTAGAGGAAAACACTTAGCAGGGGATCCTAAATAGGATACGCTTATGCGGAAGACTAGAAGGGGGTATGCGGGATACCGCTACTCGGCTCCGTTGGATATCTTTGGCTCTCGACTTCTCCTAACTGAACCCACTAAGAACCTGCCGACTCTCACTAGTCTCGATTGGAGATGGGGTTCGTTGGTCAGGATAGAGTACACTAACACTTATCGACCTTGAAGCTTCTACCTCTCCCAATTGACTCACTCTGTATAGATGGATAGGAATCTTCCTTATAACGGCATCTGTATTAATGAGGAGAAAGTACGGTAGAGGCAACGGCATCTGATGGCAACAGATAAGACGCATAAAATTACGAATTGTACAAGGTACCTCTATGAGAGTGAGGTAGTGCCTGAAGCTCAGGGTAGGTACATGCCTTAGGTGGGGAGGTACATTGGGAGGTTACATGTAATTAGATACCTTACGTTAATGGTATGCCCGTCTCTCTAACATTGCGTTACTTACTATTAGGTACCTTAGTTACTATTAGCCTGCTCGCGTATCCGGGCTCTCGGGTCCCTCGTTCTTCGATCGTTGCATCGCGCTGTATTAGGCTTTTAGAGGGGTATTCTCTTTGTTTGCTTCGAGGGCCGGTTATAGACTCCGAAGCTCGTTGAGCAAAGAATGGGAAAACAATAGATATGAAGACTTAGTAACGACTCTGTACTGCATCTTATTTCTTGTCCCTCTGCAAGTTCTCGTTCACCACCCACACACAAGAAAAAATAAGAAAAAAAGGAGATGGAGACCAACGTTTCATTACTAATTATACGAATACTCAAAAATTACTGTCCGGTAGATCCCGTAGGACCTAGGTTGTACCCGTCACGACTCATTTTACGGGTCTCGTTTGCGAATGCAACAAAGTACGGATACGAAGTACGAATACTTACCTCGTACCTATAAGGTACCTTAGCGATCACTCCTACTGTAATAATGGCCAATCTCATGGCCAATGCACAGTCAGTCACCGAGAAACACGTGTCCGCCTGCTCCTTCCCTTTTTCGTCCCAGCTCCGAAAAGAGGACGGCACGTTCCGAAGCCGAGTCACCATCACCAATGGGTTCGAACTCTGATATGTTCGGAGTTGACCGAAACAAAGACGTCCATCAATACGTTTGTCATTTGGACGCCCACCATGCAGACCAAAGTCGAGGGCCAGATTTGGAGTTCTACTCATGATCCATCCGGGATCTCTGTCTTATGTCCACCCTCGGTCAGCCACATGCATATACCTATGCCATCTCATCCCGAATTCGAGGTTGCGCCCCGAGTGCTTGTATCCTGAACGCCGGGAGCCGGTCTATGCCCCGTTGTCACGCCGGGACAGGAAATGGCCGGTTACGACAATCCCTCCCCCGTTCTATGCCTCTATGTAACCATCTCAGACAAGCAATGATGCACCTGCCGAATGGGCAGTCATAGTCATTCCTTTGCGGCCCTCACTGCATTTTCTTCTGCCCCCCCTTCGCCGCAAGCTGGTCTCCGTACTTCTCCCACACGTCCATTCCCGTCAGCCAAGAAGTACACAGCATGACAACCGCAACAAGTCCGGGCTCGACGGAGATCCATCCCACCGTAGCTGCAGGGATAACCAGATCCACCATATCCGCCACCATCTTGCGCGCCAACTTTCTCACACGACGGGCCCGCTCCTCTCCCCTCTCTTTCTCCTCCTGCTGCCGCCGTTCCCGCGCCTTCTCTTTGCTCTCGCCCTCGCGCTTCTCATCCCGAGACGACGTAGCAGCATCAGCGTCTGCCGCCGACGAAAGTAGCACGAGTCGGCGGATCTTCAAAGCGGCGCTCAACACGAGGCATATCAGACCGCAGAACCAAGATTTCAGCGCCCACGTGTTCAGCTCGCCCGCCCGCTCGGCGCCGAAGACGCCCAGACCTGGCTGTCCAGTCACGTCGGCCACCATGTCGGGCAGCGTGACGGTTTCGAGGAAGCCGAAGGCGCCCAGAAAGAGCAGCGCGTGCAGGTCCAGGTGCACTTCGGCCGGTTGCGGGCCCGCGCGGAGGCTGGAGACGATCGATGCGGAGGCTGCGAAGGCTTCGAGGAATTTGAAGGTCCGGATGGCGCGGCGGATCAGGTTGATCTCGGCCTTGAGCGGGTCTAGCAGGTCGAGGATGACCGCTGAGGGAGAGGCAGTGGATGTGAGAAAGGGTATGAGAGTGGGGAAGCCGATGAGGATGAGGATGGCGGCGTGGAATCCGCGGAGGATGCGTTCAAGACCGACTACATATAGTACGTTAGCTTTCATAACCTTCTTGGGCGCAGAGAGGAACAGCAGACTAAGGTGTCCGAGATATGGTAGATGAAAGAATTTGTAGGTGAAGGGAAGTGTGTCAAGAGAAAAGCCAACTCGGAAATAGGAATGCCCATAGAGATAATGATGCAGTAGAGAAGAAGACACTCAGGGCCGGTGACGATTTCACAGAAAGAAGGGCAAAATGAAGAAGGCCAAGCAAAGGCCACGCCACGGGAGAACAAGGAGCGAAGGGCACCGCAGAAGGTCGGTGTAAAACTGCGAAAACGAAACAGATACGAAGAAATGACTCGACGGGCAGAAGTGTCGTGAAATCCTTGGGAAACGCCAAATCTCTCTCAGCTGTGATGGTCAAGGTATGGGCACAATAATTGCCTAGTGAAATAGGACAGAGCTGACAGCGTTGACACCGCCATCTAGCCCCCCCATCACCCTTGGGAAGAATGATCAGGCTCAGACAGACATGCCGAGCATGCGAGTTCAGAGTAAAAAATGAAAAAGGAAAAGAAGAAGAAGTGTGAACGTACAGAGATCGGTCCCCAAGAGGATAAACTGTTGAAAACGTCTCGGCGACATGGTGGCGACGTAGCGGGACCCGAGTCCGGACTCTGAGGGGTTGTCTGACGAGATTGAAGATCCTCACGACTGCCGGACAAGCCAAAGACGAAGAAGAATCGTCTCGTTGTTTGATCAGTTGCCCAAACGCAGTTCCCGTGTCGTTGGGAATCGAGGTCCGAGACAAGGGCTGATGGACTGCCTGAGGACTTTTGTACTGCCTGAGGACTTTTGGACACAGTTGCTTTCAAGGAATACTGAGTGAGGCTGAAGTTGAGAGCGCTTATTAGGAAGATGTCCTACCAATTGTCTAGGAGATAAGCCGGGCAATGGAGTCCAAAGTCCGGACAGGGGTCAGAATCCTGGTTCCCCAAGAGTCTTGTCTTCTTAGAACTTGATCCTCCTATATCGGCGCAGCAACCACGAGAAGCAGCATGCCAAGAGACCACATGCAAGAACCACAAAATGTGATGTGAAATATTGGAAAAATAAAAGTAAAAGGAACCACGCCAAAGAACTGTCGAAGGACTCTTTATCACAGACCAAGTAAAGAAAAAGGCGCGGAAGTAGTTATTTACAAAGCCCTCTTTGGCTGCCAGTGCTATATCCCCCGACTCCCCATCTTTCGTCGCCTCCAAGCCAAAATCTACTGGCCCGGAGCCACAAGCTTACCCTCAGCGCGGGCCTGATGGTTCCATCCACCCGCAAGCGCTGCACCACCGGACTTCTCGGCATAGTCGGCCATCCTCTTCTCGAGTTCGGGACGGAAGTGACGGATCAGACCCTGCAGAGGCCAAGCGAACGCCTCACCCAGAGCTGTTCAGGATGTTAGTAAGGTGCAGAAAGAAAGGCAAGATACAGAGTGGGTGGTGTAAAACGGTGTAAAACATACCGCAAATGGTGTGACCCTCGACCTGCTTGGTCAGCTCCTGGAGCATGTCAATCTCCCTCGGCCGGCCCTGGCCCTTCTCGAAACGCTGCATGATCTGGTTCGTCCACTTGCTGCCCTCGCGGCAGGGCGTGCACTGACCGCACGACTCGTGCTGGTAAAAGTGCGACAGCCGGCTGATGGCCCGCACGACATCGGTGCTCTTGTCCATGACGATGACGGCCGCCGTGCCCAGGCCGGACTGGCTGTCCTTGAGGGCGTCAAAGTCCATCAGCTGGTCGTCGCAGACGGACTTGGGCAGGATGGGCGTCGAGGACCCGCCGGGGATGACGGCGAGCAGGTTGTCCCAGCCGCCGCGGACGCCGCCGCAGTGCTTGTCGATGAGCTCCCGCAGCGGGATCGACATCTCCTCCTCCACCGTCACCGGGTTGTTGACGTGGCCCGAGATGCAGTAGAGCTTGGTGCCCGAGTTGCGCTCCCGCCCGAAGCCGGCGAACCAGTTGCCGCCGCGCCGGCAGATGGTCGGCGCCACCGCCACCGTCTCGACGTTGGCCACCGTCGACGGGCAGCCGAAGAGGCCCACCGCCGCGGGGAAGGGCGGCTTGAGCCGCGGCTTGCCCGGCTTGCCCTCGAGCGACTCGATCAGCGACGTCTCCTCGCCGCAGACGTAGGCGCCCGCGCCGCGGTGGACGTAGACGTCGAAATCGTAGCCGGACCCGCACGCGTTCTTGCCGATCAGCCCTTCCTTGTACGCTTCGTTGATGGCCGTCTGCAGCACCGCCGCCTCGTGGTAGAATTCGCCTCGGATGTAGATGTACGCGGCGCTGGCGTTCATCGCCCGCCCGGCCACCAGGCAGCCTTCGATGAGCTTGTGGGGGTCCTTTCGCATGATCTCGCGGTCCTTGCATGTGCCCGGCTCGCCCTCGTCGGCGTTGACCACTAGGTATCGTGGCTTTGTGTCCTTATCCCAGTCCTTGAAGTTCATGAACGACTACCAACCATGGGAGACGCAAAAAAAAAAGAAGAGCCCCATTCGTCAGCATATCTGGAACGTCATCCACGTGTTTTTTTCTTTCTTTTTCTTTTGTTGACCGTAGCTCGACCTCGAGCTAGGCCTGTAGTTTCGGGGTGACGGCCGTAAAGCTTACCCATTTCAGTCCAGACGGGAAACCGGCACCTCCTCGTCCTCGAAGCCCAGACGTCTTCATCTCGCCGATGATCCAGTCGTGTCCCTTGAGAATGATCTCCTTCGTCTTGTGCCAGTCACCCATCTTCCGGGCCGAAGCTAGGGTTGGTGGCATTCGGCCGAGCAGGTTCTGGAAGATGCGGTCCTGGTCCTTGAGTCCTCCATATGTTCGCACGGTGGCATAGTTGCGCGCAGCTTGCGCGGCCTGCGCGGGTAGCCGTCGTGGGGTGGCCATGGTCGGGATATGGAGGTGTGGTGGGTGATGCTTGGGAGGGATTTCGGTCAACTCGGCCAAACGAGGAACTGGAGGCAAAGTGCCAGAAGGCTTAAGAATGTACCATCATTGATTGGCCAATCCAGGCTGGGAGGTCCATGAGGTCACGTGAGCTTACGCGTGCCCCAGATGCATCTAAGCATTTACCGAAGGATTTGGTTTACTTGCACACTCTCGAGTTGCTTACGTAAGGTAGGTAGTTCGAGAGAGCTTGAAATCCGATGCCCAAGCTCAGTAGCTGCTTCATTCCCATAAAGCCAAAACGACGTCAATCTCGCCCCCCCCAGCAAACTCCAACTTGGAGCGTCGACAAGAATGCCACGCCTACGTCCACCTAGATAACACAATTTCTTGGGGACAGGATCTCTAGAAACCACGGCGCCATGTCCTCCAGCAGCAGCAGCAAACGTCGTTCGATCCTCCCTCCCGTTTCCAACTCGGGACCTCAAGCTCCCGTCAATGCTTCATCGTCGGCCAAAGTCTCGGACAACAGCATTCTGACAGGCACCCATTCCATCACGATACAATCCGAGAGCGTGGTACATCCCCGGGCGAGGCTCGAGTCTACGAGCGGCAGCGTCCTCGTGGGCCGCCGCTGCATCATCCACGAACGCACCCACATCGGCTCGACCGATGGCGACGAGACCAGCGGTGGCGTGGTACTAGGGGACTACGTGACCGTTGAGGCCGGCGCGGTCATCAAAGCTGGTGGGACGGAGATTGGCGGGGACACTGTTGTGGGCGTGAAGGCGCGTATTGGCAACGGCGCAAAAGTCGGAAAGGTGCGTTCCTCGGAAATCGCTCTTTATGGAACGAAGCAGCTGACTGGATCATAGAATTGTACGATTACGCCGCTATCCGTTGTCAAGCCTGGCGAGACGATACCCGATTTCACTGTCATATACTCGAATGGCCGGCGGAGGACGGACAAGCGTGGTGTTACGGAGCTGCAGCACAGGGTCCAGGCAAGGCATGTCGAGGTGTTGAAGAGGTTGATTCCCAATAATCCGGCAAAGCGTCAAGCGGCGGCCGGATAGATTGGAATCTAATCCACTCGGTCTTTGCCGATAGATCGGCGAATTCGCTATGGGACCTTTGACAGCTGGTCTGCCATGAGTCTGGCTATATCCAGTCCTTCGACTAGTGGGGCAGCAGTTGTTCTCTGCATTTTATAGCGTCCAATTGATGAGATACCCCGAAACGTATTCTCTAGACGTCCTTCCATCCGTCATTGAGCATTACCTGTTGACTCTCGGTTCATCTTGATAGATACGCGTCCTCTTCCGCAGTGTCATCAGGTCAGCCATTTTCTTTCTGTTGACAAGCCATGGCGTTACAAACTTTTAAACAGCGCAACACGCTCTTCAAGGGATTTACATGCTTTGGGATTGATTGATATCCAGATGTTGTAATCATACAGTATCTGGACACCTGCTTACATGTCCTGGGACAGCCTTTTTGCGAGCAGACCCAGACAAGATTGGGAGGCTTACCGCCCCCTGTAAAAGAACCGGAGTCAAATGAAGCCCATTTTGTGGCATTTATCTAACCTATCTCTGCGCACGAGAAGCTCGATGAATGACCTACTTATGAGACGTCTTCATGTGTCTCCCAAATAAATGGGAACAAGGGCTTGCCTGCGGGCTTGTTGACAATGACACATTTACGTCGGACACCAGGTACAGAAAAGCCGCCCAAATCTAATACGGTAGGTTCGAGTATTGCGTTTGGGGGCTTGGTGTGGCGTTTCGAGTTGGATGGGCGGCACGACTACCTATATAACGCTAGGAATAGAACCTCGAGCAGGAAAGAAGAAAAGAAAAGGGGGTTTTTATATAATATTTTTTTATAGCTACTCGAGTCGTCGTCGTTGCCATCAAACACACGCACGAGCGATCGCGAAATCACAGCGATCCCCGGATTCAACATGTGGGACATGGTGTCGCACCCAGGTGTCGTCTTAGTGACGAACCCCTTACTGGCCCTCGCCAGCCTCTATACCCCTCAACAATACCGCCTGTTACCATTCGGGCTCCTGGTGCTCCAGTTCTGGAACGCCATCTGCTACGTTCAATACCAGCCCGGGCTCGCCTCCTTCTTCTTTCTGCCGCATGACTTCGACTGGTACGTGGGCGACATGCTCGCCAAGGCCATCACCATAGTCATGATGCACTTTGGCGTCATCCTCATTCTCGAAAAGCACAAGGCTCCGCCGGCCTCCGGTTCTCGGCTGGCACAACTGCAGGCGGCATACAAGACCTTGTCCAACTTTCGGCGCATCGGGACCAACATGGTCGCGCCGCAGGTGCCCGTCCTGGCCGACGACCCGACGCAGGTGGAACGGGAAAAGGAAGAAGACACGGCCCCTCAGAACAACGACAAAAACAACAGCAATAACAACAACTTTAGGAGTCGAGTCGGAGTCGTGCACCGCGAACCGCGTCTTTGTTTCCTGGCGCGCCGCTCCGCGCTGACGATCCTCCTCCTCTCCGCCGAGTTCTGGCTCAAGCCGCTCGTGTGGGCCATGCTGATCAACCCGGGGTACGAAGACTACACGCCCGACAAGGAGGCGTTTTTCCGCCGGCTGCCCGGCATGTCGGCGGGGCAATTGCTGCGCGAGTTTGCGATCCGGAACCAGATCGTTTTCGAGGCGTTTTGGTCGGCGTACGCCGTGTACACGGCCGCCCATGCGATTTTCGCGGTGGTTTGCGTGGGGATCGGATTCGACGAGCCGCACGAGTGGCCCCCGCTGTTCGGGGACATACGGGAGTCGTATTCCATGAGGCGGTTCTGGGTCAAGTTTTACGATCGGTTGCTTTACCGGACGCTGAAAGGGTGCGCGCTCTTGATTGCCAGGCTCGTGGGCCTCATCCGACGAGAGGGCGACACGGACGGCACGTTGAAAGGGTACGCCCTTTACGTCCTCTGGCTTTTGGGTATTGCTAGGCGAGAGGACGGCGACGACGACAACGACGACGACGCGTGGAAGGTGGGAAAGGGTAGAGGAGAAGGAGAACCTTGGAGGCGGTGGTTGCTGAACGCGATCATCTTCGCCGTGAGCGCGTGGTTTCATGCGCACACGTCATGGTGGGCTGGGTGGAGGTGTGCGTACTGGCCGGAGGTCGGGTGGTGGGCGACGAGTTTCCTTGCTGTCATTGGGGAGATGGCCGCGCAGGAGATGATGAGGAAGTGGGCACGAAGGTTATACGAGAAACTGGACAGCGGGTGGATTGGCAAGGCGGTCGGGTTCGCGTGGGTTTATTTCTTCCTTTTCTGGTCGTTGCCGAAGTACATGTATCCCAATTATATATGCCAGCCTGTGAGGCCGGCGGGGAGCGTAATCTCGATTCCACCTTAGGTAGCCGAATACCCGCCATCAACAAAGATGGTCTGTCCCGTGACAGCCTCGTTCGCCCTCGAAGCCAACCACACGGCCACGCCGGCAAAGTCGTCCGGGCGACCGTTCCGGCCAATCATGGTCCGGCGCTCGTGAACGGCAGACTTGTCGGGATCGGCCAGCACGTGGGCCGTCATGGCGGTATGCACGACGCCGGGGGCCACAGCGTTGCAGAGCACGCCGTGGCGGCTCCACGCCTCGGCCTGGCTGCGGGTGAGGCCGACGAGGCCGGCCTTGGAAGCACCGTAGGCGCCGCTGTTCCCGTAGGCGCGGAAGGCCTGCTGGCTGACGACGTTGATGATGCGGCCGTGACGCCGGGCGGCCATCCGGGGCCCGAAGGCCTGTCCGAGCCGGTAAGGCGCCGTCAGGTTGGCGGTGATGGTGGCGTCCCAGTCTTCCTGCGTGAGGTCGTCCATGGGCGGGCGGAGGTTCACGGCCGCTGCGTTGACGAGGATGTCGGGGCCCTGGCCGGACGTGAGGGATAGGATGCGCTCGATGGCGTTGGAGAGGGATGGGGTGTCGGACACGTCTGCCGGGAGAGGGGTTGCGTCGAGTCCCGCTGAGCGGAATGAGGTGGCCGTCTCTTCGAGGGGTTCGGGGCGGCGCGCGACGAGGATGAGACGGGCGCCGGCTTGGGCTAGGGAGAGGGCCATGGCACGGCCTATGCCGGCGCTTGCACCTGTCACGACTGCCGTGCGGCCGGCGAGAGAGAAAAGGGATGTGAGGTAGGCAGCAGAAGGGTTGGCCATATTGCAGGGCTGCTACGTTGCCACGGTGATGCTCCTGTCTTGATGTAGAATGTCTGGCAGTCCGCGGGGTGGCAGCTCAGGGAGGATTCAAGCAGGCTGGATAAAGTTGGTCAGCTTTGGCCTTGTCGCCGAAATGTTGGACCTTGAAGGGGCGGCAACATACTACTAGACTGTAAGGGTGATCGAGGAACCTGGAAGGTCCGTTAGGTCTGTCCTGGGGAAGTCGTGGGGATGTTGATTGTTGATGACGGTTGCCGACAGCGCGGGTAGGAACGGCTTGAAGTGAACCTTGACGGTTGAATGGAAGGTTGCGCAACGCATCATTTGCCCGTTCCTTTATTCGTATACCTCAGTCCTGCGCCCTTGGAGTGCCATGGCTTGCAGGATGCTTGAAGTTGAAGATTAGCCCCCGGGAATGAGATCGGGGGCGTCAACCCGGATAGGAGGTGTACAACGTATGTACGAAGCAGCCCGTAGTTCGTTACCTAAGGTACCTAGTCTTGACCAAGGACCAGGCCGGACTCGCACTTGTAACGAGCGAGGCTTTCTATTGCCTTCAAGCTTATTCGTATGGGAGGAGAGGGAATTCAAAAGACCAGGTACGGATATAACCTGGAAGAGACAAAAAAGGGGTCCTTTCTGTCATCGGAGTAAGTACAACGTACCTCTAATTAAGGTACGTACCTTAGGTACTTTGGAGAGCAGAGCGGTTAGGGGGAGCAGGATTGCTAAGGTACCTAGATACCTAGGCCAGGTGGTCCGGGCGGTATCCCGCTCCGGTATCCGCCAAAAAGATGATGGAGATGGAGATAGCGCGGATCGAACGCACGACCTTCTGTAAGCTTGCATGCAATGCAAAACAGAAATCATACCACTAGACCATATCCCCATATGCCTTTGTACTCATCTCCATGGTGCTCCATTCTTTGTCCATACAGCGCTTGTGATGATGTCATGTCCGTCGTCGCTAAGGTAGTGTACTGACTGTACCGTAGTGTTTCTTCCTCGCTGTACCTGAATTACTAATCACATATTACTAATAATGAATGGAGACCTCGTGGGGGCCGTTTTCTCATTTCTCCGTGTCCCCAATGGTCTCGATCCTTCGCTCACATCCCCCTTTTCCCCCTCGGACCAAGCCCACGAACCCTTGCTCGTCCATCTTCCTTCAGTCACCCCCTAATGAACGCCGTCAACAAGGCCATGAATCATGCGACATGCAGATCCTTAACCCCAATCCTCTAGGAGGGCATTTCCTCCGAAAATCCAGCTCAGCTCTGTCAACACCTCGACATGGGCCACATGGCCTCGGTCGAACCAAGCTCACCCGCTCATATGTGCTTGTGCCATAGCCAGAATCTGCCCTACGTGTAGGATCTTTTTCTCTTCTACATGTCAGCGGAGAAGGACAGCAGGCTTCTCTCCCTGAATAATCGCCCACCCAGGACGGCAGCCAACGGTAGATGTGGCCCATCTTTCGGTCTGCCACGCGTGAATCCCTCAGTCTCGGGCCCCCGTCACCCCCCGCCAAAGATAAGAGCCGCCATGATCAATCAGGGAGCTGGTAATGGCTGACCCCGGCTTCGGCACACATGACGACATGACCGATGCCCGCATCTTAGCCGGATCAAGCATCACCTCCACTTTTCGGCCGGGGTCTCACCCGTATGCTCGGTGTCCCTGGTCCACCGTCCACGTCCACGACTAGGAGATGTCATGGAGGATCTGGAAAGACATGGGCAAGGATATGAGGAGCTACAAAAGGGTCCCCTCTCCTGGACCCTGGGTCGTGTTCTCCAGTTCCGTCTCTCTCTCTCTCTCTCTCTCTCTCTCTCTCTCTCTCTCTCTCCCCACAGACATCAGGTTGCAACATTCTCGACGCGCCGGCTCTTCATCTGACGACCTTGCCATTCGCAAATCTCCTGGTCTGCGACTAATAGACTGCGAGTGTCTCACTGCCTCCTCCTCGCCATGACCTTTCTCCGGACTGCTGCACTCGCGCAGCTCCTGCTCACCGCCCTGCCACCCGTTCTATCGCAGGGATGCCACGGTCCCCCGGAGTCTCGTCTCGGCGCCGTTGCCTCCGAGTGCGATATCTGCAGCGGAATTGGCACCCGTCTCCTCCAGGAAGGCGGTAATGCCGTCGACGCCGCCGTCGCTACCACTTTCTGCGTCGGCACCGTCGGCATGTACCACAGCGGTCTCGGTGGCGGTGGCTTCCTCGTCGTCCGCTCTCAAAACGGGTCCTACGAGTATGTCGATTTTCGTGAGAGGGCGCCGGCGGCTGCCTACGAGGATATGTATGTCGACGATCCGGGCCAGAGCCTTTGGGGTGGTCTCGCCAGGTACGTCTCGGACGGGGGATTGGAATCAGAGTCCCTTTTTTCCCCCTAACCACTCGTTGTCGTCTGGGAACGCAAGCTTACGCTCGTCTTACAGCGGTGTGCCTGGCGAGGCAAGAGGCTTGGAATACGTCCACTCAAAATATGGCGCCCTGCCCTGGAAAGATGTTCTGGCGCCCTCTATACAGTTGGCTCGCTTCGGCTGGGAGGTCAACCAAGACCTCATCTACTACATGAATGCCGTTGGCGGCGATTTCCTGACCGACGACCCAACCTGGGCCATTGACTTCGCTCCTCACGGGAAGCGCCTGGAGCTCGGTGAAACCATCACGCGCAAGCGGTATGCGAACACTCTCGAGGCCATTGCCGAGGGCGGCGCCGACGCTTTTTACAACGGCGCCATCGCCAACGCCACCATCGCCGCCCTGACGAGGCTCAACGGCACCATGGTCCTCGACGACCTTCGGAATTACACCGTCACACTGCGTCCCACCGCCGAAATTACCTACCGCGGGTATAAGCTGACCAGTGCCACGGCGCCGTCCAGCGGCATCGTCGTCTTGAGTGCCCTGAACGCCGCCGACGGCTTCGACGGCTTCGGCGACCCGGACAATGTCAACGTGACGACCCAACGCCTTGACCAGGCCACCAAATTCGCATACGGCATGCGCTCCTCGCTGGGCGACCCCCTCTACGTAGACGGACTGTCCGACTACATGAGAAGCATGGTCTCGCCCCAGACCGGCGCCGAGGTCCGCTCCAAGATCTCCGACACGCGCACGTACAACACGTCGTACTACGACCCTTCGGGTCTAGAGTCGCTCGACACCCCCGGCACCGCCCACATCGTGGCCGCCGACCACACCGGTCTCGCCGTCTCCCTGACGACCACCATCAACCTCCTCTTCGGCTCGCAGGTCATGATCCCCGAGACGGGCGTCATCATGAACAACGAGATGAACGATTTCAGCATCCCCGGCGTCACCAACGCCTTCGGCTACGAGCCCAGCCCGTCCAACTTCATCCGGCCCGGCAAGCGACCGCTCAGCTCCATGTCGCCCACCATCGTCGAGACGGAGGAGGGGAAGGTCTACTTCCTCATCGGCGCCGCCGGTGGGAGCCGCATCATCACCTCGACCATCCAGAACATCCACCACGTCATCGACAACGAACTGAACGTCGCTGATGCCCTAGCCGAGCCCCGCTGGCACGACCAGCTGACGCCCAACGAGATGACCTTTGAGTGGGCTTTTGATAACGCCACCGTCGCTCATCTGAGGAACATCGGCCACCAGGTCAGGTGGGTTGCTCCCGGTCAGAGTGCGGCCCAAGGTGTGCGGTTGTTGCGGAACGGGACCTTCGAGGCCGCCGGTGAGCCGCGCCAGGCCAACTCGGGCGGCTTTGCCGTATAACGAACCCAATGATGGGGAAGATGAAGGTGACGAAGACGAGAAAAAAAATGAAGATGGTGAATAGTTAATGTCTAAATGAGGGAAAACTTTTCATTCCAAAAACGGTTCATAATCACTACCCCGACCATTCTCTTGGTCTGTGGTACCCGAGAAACGGCGACCGCCGGTGACAATATATATAGGTCCTGGTCGCCCGAGATTGAGGGATCTCCCTGACATATATCTATAATCTTGCCGTGGCTTACGCCATCCCGCCAGTGGAAACACATAGCCAAGATTCAAGAGATCTTCTGATGTACGATAGCCGATAGGGTGCATCAACACCCAACCGCGAGTCCGCGTCTTCGACCCCTCCATGCTATGCCTTGCATGCTGACGTTCTAATTCTAATACCGACCTTCCCGATCAAGATCACGGCATGGAAAAGGGGGGGGGGCAGACGCCGTGTCACGTAACGACTCGAGACCACACCTCCAATCCTGTCCATTTCAATGGGTAACATACATTTCACTATGCTCGGAAAGGGAGCTCAACTATGCCCTCCAAGCACCCATTCTCCAGAGTCCAGCCCACCCGCACCAGGCACCAGGCCCACCATCTGCGCGGGAACGGACCAACGGTCCCGCAAATATGCGGCACTTTCAAGTTTCTACGCCTGGCTGGACAATAGTCGTCGATCTGGAACGATGCACGATCGCTTGCCGCGTCGCATCAATTCCGCTGTGGAAAACGTGCAACTGCCGGGACTAGGTTATTGGCTGGCTTCGTTTGATTCTTATCATCCCACAACCACCTTCACAGCCACCTTCACAACCACCTTCACAACCACCTTCCCTGGAGCAGTGAGCTTTCTCCGGTTGCTACATCGATGATCGCCGCCCAGATCTTCTCTGCTCTGCCGCTCCAAGATGCTAACTCCGAACCAATTCCACCCTCACGCTGGCCCCCAGAGGCAGTGATCTGCAAATCCCATCCCGCACACCGGATAAAGGGTCTTCGGCCGGTTCCACTGGGTGGACCAGGATGGTGTAGAAGGCAGATGTAGGGGACTTGGACGAAAGGATAATAGCAAAGATTCGGCTTCTCTGCTTGGATACACCGCGAGAGGGCGGCATGGACTTTGTGGTCTCGATTCGGAAGGTGTTGTCTGTCGCCGACTCAGACTCTCAGTGTGATCGAGAGAGATATTGTGTATAAATAGGGGGGGCGACGGGGAAGGAAAAAGGTCTGGGAGGAAGAATTTTGGATCGACATAGTCATAGTCTACGTTGATCAACATCATCATGGTCTCTTTCACGAAGCTCGCCCTTCTGGCCCTGGGCGCCGTCCAAGCCCAGGCGCAGTGCGTTGGTCCGTCCATCAACACCGCGGCCCTCAACCTGATCAAGGAGTTTGAGGGATGGCGTCCCAACATCTGTATGTACTATGTTCCCCTCCTACGTTCTATGATCTCCCCCCTTATGATCTTGGGGACTATTCTCATATTTCTGACTAACACTCTGGGCAGACCTCGACCCCGTCGGCCTCCCTACCGTCGGCTATGGCCATCTCTGCCGCGACTCTCGCTGCTCTGACGTCCCCTACCCAATTCCCCTGTCCGTCGCCAACGGCGAGCGTCTTCTTCGGAGCGACCTGATTGTGAGTCTACTCCCCTTTACTTTTTTGCCT